GGGTGGGATTTACCTAGAACCCAGGGCAGGATCATCCACTCCACGATGGTGGGAGGTGGCCCCTGCATGTGGAGGTCAGTCCTGACGATGTGCTGTGACGCCAGCAGGAGCATGAACAGGAAGGTCAGGTAAGAGCCAGTGTGGCAGATAAACTTGATAAATGGCTTTTTAATGAACAGTCCCAGCCTGCTCTTGGGTGCAATCAGGTATGCCACGGATAGCACGGGGAAAAGCAGTCCAATGGTGACACAGGTCAGGAGTTTCACTGCCCAGTGTTTCCTCCTCCAGCCTGGGAAGCCGTCGTACCAAAGCGTTGCTAGCAGCTGCTGGCAGTTCGGCTGAGCAACAAACTGGGGAGGAAAAAAAGAAAGAAAGATTATTCCTGACTGCTACTCCACGTGCACTCCCCCTCACTTATGTGTCACAGCCCACACAGACCCTCAGATTATGTTTGGGGCTGGCTATGGGCTGGAAAAGAGTATTTTGGACATATAGGGGGGAAAAGGAGGGAAGTTTCACTCTTCTTTTTCTATGTAGGATTTAAGATTCCTTCTGGTGGAAGAAATTTTTTTTCTACTTGCAGCATCAGCCACTCACCACACACGCAGCCTCGTGCAAAAGCAGCACCAGGAGAAAGAATTACTACAAGCTGCTTCTCTCTCCCCATGTGTTGGAGCACATTCCTTTCCAGAATGTCTCAGGTTTGGACCGCCTCGAACAAGTCACTGTCAGCATCTTCAAAAAAGTGACTAAAGGATGAGGCAGGAGGGAAAAGGTGCAAAGCTCTGGGAGTGTGTGTGTGAGAGGGAGAACGTCTCCCAGAGCGTGTGGGGAGCTGCCATGTGTGTGTCTGTGTGTGTGTGTGTGTGTGTGTGTGTGTGTGGGCTGGCATGAGCCAGCAAACAGCAGCGCCAGGTGTGCCCAGGTGACAGCAGGTGGGAGGCAGGACAGCACATTGGGAGCCCTGCCCCGCTGCTCAGCCCCTACACCAACGGGATGAAGCAGAGGCCAGAAGGAGCCTTTGATCACAGCAGTGGAAGGCACGTTTGACAGCTCACTTTGACTGTGTGAAAACCAGCATCGTGATGGGGGTTTGGTGCATCTCAGCCCGGCCACAGCACACATGCTCAGGGTGCAACTCCCAGCCCTTGGGATTCCAAACCAAGCCGTGGGGATTCTGCTCAGTGCCAGAAGATTTCACATTCCTGATCATACCTGCACAGCCCCATGGCTTTCAAGGCCTTCCAGACCCAAAACTAACCAGAGATGTCTGCAAGACCAAGACAACTCTGTTTTTCTTCAAAAATATTTAGTCCACACCCAAATCTTTTAAATATTCATTCGCCATAAAAACTGCCCAGTATTGGGAGGACTTTTGTGCCCAATTCTCAGAGTGCTCTAAACAAGCAAAGCACTGTCATTGCCGTGTTCAAAATGACTAAACCTAGGTCCAACAAAAAGACAAATTAGTTGCTCATAGATGAAGTCATTCACTTCTGTAGGTATTTTTAGATTTTGGTAGCATATTTTATATGTCTTAACAGTCTGTTTATATCAGAATCAGACCATTTTTGGACTGGGTAGTTCAAATGTATGGAATGACCCAAACTAGCACTGGAAATAAGCTCTCCAAGGGAACTATGTGGCATTTATGAAGCTGGATTCTGCTGTGTTATTACAACAATAAGCTCCTGATGACTTCTGCACTGGCACATGATACTGCTCCAGAGGGAAATAATATCAGAAGAGTGTGTGATTTGGAATCAACCAGCACATGCAGGCAGCTGAAAATGGACAGCAGCTCATGGGGTGAGGGTTTCCAGAAAAAGCCAGGACCTGTTGCTTGTAGTGATGAGAAAATATTATTGTAAAATTCCATATATGGGGGCAGTGATCACAAAATCCCAGAATGGTTTGGGTTGGGAGGGACCTCAAAGCTCATCTTATTTCCACCCCTCCATGGGCAGGGACACCTTCCACCATCCCAGGCTGCTCCAAGCTCCATCCAGCCTGGCCTGGGACACCTGCAGGGATCCAGGGGCAGCCACAGCTTCTCTGGGGAGGCAACAGAAACAATTCTACAGAAACTGGAAAATCCCCAAGCATCGACTGGTGTTTGGCTGTGTTTTAACTCTGATTTCAGAAGGGTCAGCTCTGTTCTCTCAAGATCCACATCAGGAGCTGTTACTGGATGTGTTCTGCAGTGATTCACAGGGCAAGAGATGCTGCTGCTTCTCTGAGATGAGGCAAAACTTTTTCTTTTTTTTTTTTTTTTTTTTTAGAGGGAGAAAATGTTATAAACACATTTTCTCTTTATCACATATGATAGAAAGCTCTGAGGGGAGAATAAAACTGTTTTTCCCCTGAGTCAAAGTCAAAGTCATTTGAGAAATCAAATGACTATATGTTCCTCTGGTTGCTGTGCAACTTGCAAGCATCTTAAAAGTGCCTCTTCTCTGCCTAATAGCTCATTTCTAAAATCTGCTTTCTCAGTTGTATCTGATGTTAGTTCTTCAAATGGAGACAAATTCACACATCATGAAAGAGCAGCTTTAAAGAGCAGATTGGCAAAAGGGAATGGAAATGGAAAAAGCCATTAAATTTTCCAATCAAGCTGGTCCCAACCTCAATGAAAATTGCCCAAGGGAAATTTAAGCACACCACACAAAGAGACTCCCTAATGTCATAAACCACCAAATGCTGTGTTTATTAAAGGTAAGGCCAAGCACTTACCAAAGCAGACTTTTACTAACTTGTATTAGTCCAAATTATTAATCACAGATTTTAAATCAGTAAGCACTGATGCTTTTATCTCCAGTAGTGCAGTTGGCTGAAAAACAAAATTTCCAGTGTGCAGAAACATTGGAATTCTGAATTACAATGAAGAACCAAACCAAGCCACTGGTGTGCTGCCTAAAGAATTTATTGTTTTTTGGAGAGTTTGCTTCTAGGTGCTGTTAACTAAACTAAACCCCCAAATTCATTGACCAGACCAAACCTTTGAATGCTCAACTTATGATTGATTGTCTTGGAGTCATAGTGCTAAATAAATGCACACAAAATACAAACATATATTATTTTAAGTATGAAGTACCCTGAAATTCTGATAATATTGTGGAATTTTTGTTTTCCTCCGTAGTTTCAGATTTCTCCATGAAGTTAAGGGAATTTCCACTTTGCAAATAGTAGAGCAGAGAGCTCGAAAAGCAGCTTGACATCTTCAACACTACTTATACAAGGCTTTTCCTGAGTGAAGGTTAATTTTCTACATAAGTAACCCCAAATGTGTTTTTTCACATTTTTTCTGAAGCCTTTCATGTGCACAGGACTGAAACAGTGCCTGTGTACATCACAGCCTTTTATATTTCACGTGAATGTACCGTGTGTGTGTGACAGGAGTTGACATCAGTGAAAGTTCCTGCACAACAAAAAGCAGGAAAAAACCCTGCATTTTGTCCCAGTTTTGTGGATGGTCCAGAGTCAGATGCTCTGCACCAGAAGCTCTGCTAAGAGAACATACAACCATCAAACACTATTTCTCCAACACTTGACAAGTATTTTATCCAAGGACTGCTGCATTACAGGAGCCTCCAGTCTCTGCCACAAACAGCAGCACAAGACATCACCCCACAGACAGGATGGAGAAATGTTCTGACAGCTGCATTAGTGAAAAGGAATGTCACCAAGAGGTGGCATTTATGCTCAGTTCAGTGAATGTAGGAACTAAACATCTGATGCTGTGTAGGGTTTGGCTGGGGTAGAGTTAATTTTCCTCACAGCAGCTGGGTTTGGTTTTATGCTGGAAACAGGATTGAACACACAGGGATGTCTGAGTTATCACTGAGCAGGGATTGCACACAGCCAGGGCTTTTCCTGCTCCTCACCCTCACCTGAGAGGAGGACAAGGATATGGGGGGGCACAGCCAGGACAGCTGATCCCAGGGATATCCCAGACCTTGTGGCATCACCCTCAGCACATGAAGCTGGGGGAGAAGGAGGGAAAGAGGAAATGGGGCATGTTTGTCTTCCCAAGGCTCTGTGACATCTGATGGAGCCCTGGGCATGGCTGAGCTCCTGCCTGCCCATGGGAGGCACTGAATGAATTCCTTGTTTTGCTTTGCTTGCCCACATGGCTTTTGCTGCACCTGTTCAAACTGTCTTTATCTCAACCCACGGGTTTTCTCACTTTCCTCTTCCAGTTCTCTCCCTCATCCCACGGGCAGGAGTGGGCGAGTGGCTCCTGGGGCTGAGCTGCTGGCTGGGGTTAAATCACCACAGAAGCACTGAAGTGGTTGCACAGAACATTGTCCAGGGTGGTCCCCACCTGCAGAAGCATTTCTGGAGGAGCTAATCCCAAAAACAATCTCCTTGCCTGTTACCTGTTGAGCAGAACCTGTCCCTAGCTGAAGGTACAACAGGGACACAAGATGCAACTCAGAGTCCCTGCTTGTGAGCACACACCCCTGTGATACCTGTGAGCAAGGTGCTCAGTCCCCCCCTTAGAAAATGGGGATAAATATCTTTGCCTTTCCAAGAAATGAGATCAGCAATTCCAGTCATAGTTGGGAAGCACTCTAGAGATTACTGCAGCACAAAGTCTTTTATGTTCTCTTTTTCTTCTCTCAGCCTTGCCAGGGTCTTTGTGTAACATTTGGCTTGCAGGTGGATTGTGCTATTAGAGAATTTCATTTTCAATGTTCATCATGCTCATTGCCACCTAATCCTATACCAAGGGGGATATTTTTAAGGGGAAAAAAGCAGCTGCTGGATGGAGTGCCTTTTCCTTAATAACTAATCTTTACTGATATTTTTAAGTCACCTAAATTCCATTTCTCGGGAATTAAATGCTTTCTGCATGCTGTCAAACACAGAAATTATGTTCCACCCCCCTCCCCTCATCTATGGGGAAATCCCTGATCTCTGGCAGTCATAAGTAATTTAGGATCAGACACAGATGGGTTGAGATGTGAATGCCTCAGGGAGCAACTGAAATAGCTCCCTGATAGACATCACAGGGGCTGAGCACAGCATCCCTCTGCCTTTATTCTGATTATCGTGACTGCTGCCAGCAGCCTCTTGTTTGGAGTTTGTTGCAGTTCTTGTCTGTACTCTTGCAGGGGATGGTGAGGGTGAACGCTCTTCATAGATGAATAACCACTAATTTGGAACTGCAGAGCTCTGTCTTAATAAGCAGGACAGAGTTTCTCTATCAGTCAGCTCCAGCAGCTCCTGGGAGGTCACCAGGGAGAGCCAAACACGGCATGGGAGCCACGAAATTACCTTTAGCTCCTGCCTGACTCTCCCTGCAGAAGGTCAGACCTCACCAACATCACTGCAGCCCAGAGCATCC